ATTGCACATGTCCATTCCGATTTAGGTGTGCGAGTGCCCCGAGCACAACTGTCGAAGATTTTTCCCCTAGTGGTATCCATAGCCTCGGTGCCGGCGCCCCCTGCTGTTGCGCGCTGATAGCGCCATTATAAGCACAATTACTTCGGCAAGGAGGGTTTCGGAGAGCCGAGCCCTCACAGCAGAGCCACTATATACAGTTTTCTTAAAGATAAGGTACAGCTGCAGCCGCACTCAAAATTCCTCACAAAGGTTGTGTCCCAATTCCACTACAACCAGGCTATCTTTCTACTGGTCTTCTACCCTAAGTCTCACGTGAATAGGGAAGAGCAACGACTGCACCCCCTGGACGTCAGACATGCTCCGGCATTTTATATTGAAAGAACCAAACCGTTTCATAGGTCGGCCCAGCTCTTCATTGCTATGGCTGACAGAATAAAAGGGCTTCTGGTCTCCTCCCAGAGGATCTCATCTTGGATCACATCCTGTATATGAACATGCTACGACCTCGCAGGCGTTCCCCCTCAGTCGAACTTAACAGCTCAGTCCACAAGGTCCCAAGATTCTTTGGCAGCCTTCTTAGTGCAGGTTCCAATCCAGAACTTATGCAGAGCGGCGACATGGTCCTCGGTGCATACCTTTACAATACCCAGTGCTATCATGCAGCAGCCTCTCTGGGGGCAAAAGCCTCCCCTGACGGGAATGCCCAAAGCCGGGGAAGGGGTGCCCCCAGCTGCAGCAGGTTCGGGCTGGGTTCAAGCCGCCCCTCCCCTGGCAGGTCCCCGGGTGGGTTCCCTGAGCACCTGCATGGCACTAAATAGGCTGCTGCATGGCTGCGTAGCTTACAGGGAACTTAGCTCTTTACCCTCAATATTAGATTATCTCTTAGAACATAAAAGGTCTGGCCTATCCATGAGTTTAATAAGAGTACACCTCTCTGCTATCACAGCTTTTCACCACAAAGTGGATCAACGTTCTGTGTTTGCTCACCTGCTCACCAAATGTTTCCTCAAAGGCCTCACCAACGTCTACCTTTTTTTTTTTTTTTTTTTTTTTTTTTTTTACCTCCGCCTAGTCCTTCGGGCCGTCACTGGTTCCCCATTTGAACCCATAGCTACATGCTCACTACTACACCCAGGGCCGGCTCTGGCTTTTTTGCCGCCCTAGGCAGAAAAGCCTCCGGCCGCCCCGCCGCCGCGGGGGTGGCGCGCCCAGCGGCCAGAGCGCAGGGCGGCGAGCCCCAGCAGGGGCTCGCCGCTCTCCCCCCGGCGGCCGGGGCGAGGGCAGGGGGGCGGCCAGAGCGCCGGGGGGAGGGCGGCGAGCCCGGCTGTGGCCCCGCTCTCCCCGGCGGCCGGAGCACCGCGCCGCCCCCCTCCAGGTGCCGCCCCAAGCACCAGCTTGGGTGCCTGGTGCCTGGAGCCGGCCCTGACTACACCTTTCCATGAAGGTAGCATTTCTAGTGGCCGTTACATCTACCAGACGTGTAGGAGAGTTGGGTGGTCTCATGGCAGACCCCCCCCCCCATACACTTTTTTTTAAAGATAAAGTATCCCTGAGACCACACCCCAAGTTTTTACCTAAAGTCATCTCAGCCTTCCACCTTAATCAATCCATTCACCTACCGACGTTTTACCGCAAACCCCACGAGGATAGAAGGCAGTCCACACTTCATACTCTCGACGTAGGGAGGGCATTGGCCTTTTATATAGCCAGAACAGGATCATTTCATAAATCAGCCAGACTGTTCGTCTCCATCACTGAACGCTCCAAAGGGAGTGCCATATCCAAACAGAGGCTCTCCAAGTGGATCTCTGATTGCATAATTCTATGCTATCACTAGATGGATCACTATCCCTAAATGGATCACTTGATGATTTGCTGTTCCTTCCCTCTGGAGCACCTGGCATTAGCCACTATTGGAAGACAGGATACTGGGCTAGATGGACCTTTGGTCTGACCCAGTATGTCCGTTCTTATATACCATCACTGTGACCGACAACCTCCTTTGGGGATTCGCACGCATTCCACCAGAGCCCTATTGACCTCCATTGCTTTCCTTAACAACGTGCCCATCACGGACATCTGTAGGGCTGCAACCTGGGCCTCAGTCCATACCTTTACGCAGCACTACGCATTAAGACAACTGGCAATGTCCGATGCCTCTTTTGGACTCACTGTACTGTCTGCTCTCATAACTTCAACTCCGAAGACCCTCCTTCCACCGGAGGGCACTGTTCTGAAGTCACCTAAAGTGGAGCACCCACAGGGACAGCACTCGAAGGAGAGAAAGTTACTCACCTTGTGCCGTAACGGAGGTTCTTCGAGATGTGTCCCCCTGTGACTGCTCCACTACCCTCCCTCTTACCCTCTACTTTGGGATTTATTACTTAGTCTCTGCAGTAGAGAAGGAATAAAGCCAGCACCAGTTAACCGCTTCAAGCAGTGCGAGATGGGGGGCGCACATGTGCAACCCAACCGGGCACTGCTACCAAAAATCTCTGATTACGTGCACAGGAGCGCACGAACACCTAGTCGAGCACCCACAGGGACACACATCTCGAAGAACCTACGTTACTGCACAAGGTGAGTAACTTTCTCTTCCACAGCATTGGTTTACACTTGAATCACATTTTCTATTTGATATAGGCTCTTAAACCACACTCATCACTGTATTGTCTCAGTGCATTAAGTGACGTGACTAATATCTGTCGTGTCAGGTTGTTCTTTGTAAAGCTAGCTTCACAACCTTAAGGGCTTTAACCTTTTTTCAAATGAAGCTTTAAATTGATTGGTAATGGTATTTGTGAACATCACCTAGTTATAAAGTGGTAGAGCATCAATTAAAAACTAAATTTAAATCTAATTGTAAACTGGAAATGAAGATGTACATATATATAATCACCATTTCATATGAAGCCTTTTATACTGGATCTTAAAATTCTGTGAAGAACTAAACTATATTTTCGCTCACTGAAGATGACGGAGGAGAGGGAGAAAGAAACAGATCTATGACAAAGCAGAAAATGTCTTCATAGATTCTAAGGCCAGTAGGGACCATTATGATCCTCTAGTCTGAACTTCTGTATAACACAGGCCCTCTGAGACTTGGAATCAGATAGAGAATTGATGTAGGGAAGCTATTCCAGACCACAGGATTCCAGCATAGAATGCTTTTGCACCAGCTATGGCAAGATGGTGTGTTTTGGGGTGAGGGGAGTGTGTGGGATGAGCAGAGGTATCAGGAAGAGGAGCAGAAACATGCAAGGTATGTAATAGAAGCTGGAACTTTTAAAAACAAGGAGGGAGGGTTGAATTGGACCTGAAATGAATGGTCAGTTGATGAGTGTACCATACTTTTTAGCCTGTTCCCATAGTCTCACAGTCATAAACACACCCAGCCATTTTCGTTTTATTACATGTATCTTTTATTCCACAGTTCTTTTTTAAACAGAACATGACGCAGGCATATTGCAGTAGGAGCTTTCCACACTGCTTCTCTCCTTTGTACAGCTCACCTTCTGAGCTCCCCCTCCTGCTTCCTGTTCCTCCCAATTATATTCTCCCAGTTACTGCCAGTTGCATCAATAGTCTAGTAATTACCACCCAGGTACTCATAATCCACCAACAGAAAATAGCTAATTGTTCCCAGTTGTGCCAGCAACCTTTTCTGAGCTGCAGCAATTGAACTTGCTGCAGCAAGTGACCAGGGTGCTACCGCTAGCATTCGGTCAGAGGAGGGTTAAGGATAGGTGAGGTGGTTTTGCTTTTAGCATGGCTGATTAAACTGCCTTGCTTCCCTTTAGGTGATTGAAGTATTGATTCGGTCTGAGGAAGGACTCTCCAGAGACATGGTGAAGCACCTCAACAACATTGAAGAACAGATTTTGGAGAGTCTAGCCTGGACCAGCGACTCTGCCCTATGGAAAGCTCTACAAGCCTCAGAAAACAAGGTCCCAACCTGTGAAGAAGTATGTTGAAGGGAAAATAAATTACCAGAAAATGCAAGTGTATTCGTTTTCCAGGACTGATATTTTGCATAGGATATTAATCAAATGCAACAATTTATCTAGTAGTGAAATAATTATAAAAACTAAGACACGGTGTTCTCTGACACCCTTTTTAATAATGGTAGATGGTATGAAGAGGCGAAGATTATTTATTCTTAAACTGGCATCTCTTATATCCCAGGTAATATACCCAAGTAATTTTGAAGCCGGTAATGGAGGAAGTGGACTAGGGCACCTCCCTATGATGCCAGTATCGCCTATTGTGCATCCCCGGGTGAAAGAGGTTCGCACAGATCTTGGTGGAAGTTTACGACGGGGTAAGTTGAGAGCTTCTGATGTGTTTGTAGTATATAGTATTTCAAACCATTCATAGTAATACATAGAGAAATCCTGGGTGCGTTTGCTTAGAATCTTAGTCATTTGTCTTTTCAAACTTTTTGTCTGGAAATCTTCTCCCTAACTCTATGGCTTTGTCTCCATAACACTCAATTGCTTGTGCTCCCATCCAATGTGTTTATGTCCACATTGCCTACCTTGAATCAGAGTAATATTTGCCTTTGTGCCTTTTCTAGGGTTGTCTATACTGATTCAGATGGTGTAGCTGTAATCCTTGACAGCTGGTAACTCTACTTCTCCTGCTGTTCTAATCTATTCAGTGGTTCGCTATGCAGTTTGGTTCTGTCCTGTATTTTCTATCTTTATGCCTCCATTCTCAGATTTGATAGGTCAATTTCTTTTTAAAAAAATACTATCCTCTATCTCATTAGTTCTTAAATGGACACTTATTTTTAACCAAAACAAAAAACAAAAAAACCCACAACCAACAACTTGGGATTGCTGTTTTTTCACAAAAAGGCAAACAGTTCTGTGCGCTGGGCTGTATGACTTGTCGTTACCATTCAAAGAAATTTACAGAAAGTAAAGAAGCATACTGAAGGGGAGAAGAGCAGAGCTTGAAAAAATGCGCCTGCCTCTGCTGACAAGGAATTGTCCGCTGGGAGTGGGTGAAAGCTAGTAGCGGAGTGAAACTTCCAAGTTTTTAGCCAGTTTCACTTTGCTGTTTACCCAGAAACTCTTCTGCTTTGTGGGATGGAGAGGGACACACACCAATTAGTATCTTGAGCAGCAGGAGATTATCTTGTGCTTCCAAAGGGTTCCATGGATCAGAAGAGTGAAACTGATATTGTACTGATCAGTTTTGCTGCTGCCCAATAGCATGAGTGGAAGCAGTTAAAGTGAGCAGAGTTTGTGAGAAGAAATAGAGATAAGGGAATGAGCAAAGGGAGGGAGGATTCAAGCTGAGTAGTAGCGAGGGGATTAAAGAGGAAGAGACAGAGGGCTGGTCTACACTTACCGGGTAGTTCGACGGCTGGCAATCAAAGTTCCGGGTTCGATTTATCGCGTCTGGTCTGGACGCGATAAATCGAACCAGGAAGTGCTCGCCGTCGACTGCAGTACTCCAGCTCAACGAGAGGAGTACCGCGGAGTCGACGGGGAGCCTGCCTGCCGCGTGTGGACCGCGTCTGAACCGCGGTAAGTTCGAAGTAAGGTATGTCGAATTCAGCTACGTTATTCATGTAGCTGAATTTGCGTACCTTACTTCGACTTGGGGGGTAAGTGTAGACCAAGCCAGAGAAACAAGATGTCCAAGCAGCTAGAGCTCAGGAAAGATGCGACTGGAGGAGGAAGAGGTCTCCATTGCTTTCCAGCGGCTAAGAATCCAAACATATTGTCAATCAAATGAAATGGTTTGGGAATAGTGGAGAATAAGGGGAAGCAATTGAAGGGCTAGAGGACTTTGATCTGTGTATTATGGTGCTACTGTTCTGTCAGTGGAAGGTTTCTTGTGATTCTGACTTCTGTTTTGTAGCTTGGGGACTAGTAGTTCTCTCATTTTGGAAATTGTATTTCTATTAAACTGCTGCATATTGTAGTGATGTTTTTTCCTTTCTTTCATATTAGACATGCAGCCGTTGTCTCCGATCTCTGTTCATGAGCGCTACAGTTCTCCTACAGCTGGAAGTGCTAAGAGAAGGCTCTTTGGCGATGACAGCCCAAAAGACATGCAGGTAGAAAAGGTTCTCTCTGAAGGAACGAAGTTGAAAATTGCCCCAGCTTCAAGCGTTGCTGCTGAAAATATCTCTCTCTCACCGGGACAGACAATTTTGACCATGGCAACAGCTACTGTAACAGGGACAATGGGACAGAAAGTTACAATCCCACTGCATGGTAAGATATCCATTCATTTTACTTCATTGCATTTTATAATGATGCTGAATGTTTTACTATGTCCTTTTCCTGGGGTTTGGTTGTACTATCAAACACAATGTAGATTCAGTTTGGAGGGCTTTGCATTTTGAACAAGTAACATCTAAAGAAAATTGTTTTGAAAAGAAAAATTAAGAGAAAATATGCTTTGCCATCCCTAGTGCTTATTATTGCATGGACTAGAGTCTAGACAAAGACTTGTTGCTTACAGATTATCCTGGTAATGTATCCACTGCAGGCTGGGGCAGGGTTTGTGAAGTTGTTGCTTTGCAAATTTTGCTTCATCACAGATGAAGCCTTATGAAGATGTATGACACAAGTAATTCTTGGGATTTAATATGCTTAGGTCTTCAGGTACAGCTGTATCCTTATCTGTTTTCCTATCTGTTTACTCAGTATATCATTTTACTTAAGGATAAGGGGATATAGATTTTAGAAACAAATTGATACATGAAAGATTCACAGTACTTGACTCTGACAGATTGAAGTTGGCTGTATGGCAACTCCCCAAATCCTGCTCTGGCCCATGAGGAATGCACTAGATGATTTAATGGAGCTCTCTCAAGTTTCTGATATTTCTAATATAAAAAGAAGCATATTAAAGATTAATATTCTGTAAGGTCTATTGCCATGGCGACCTTTAGAGGAGCAAAATAAAATTAGATATGCCATTCACAGAAACTAAGATAATAGTCAAATGCTCTCTAAATTAAATTCATTCAGAAACCATTATATGGTTGTGATGCCAAGAAAAGCAAATTCTTTGACTGAGAGCCATGCTGCCAGACATGGGAAACCATGTTCTTGAAAGTTATCGTGCAGTGCACAACAATCCGTGGAATACAACTGAGACACTTAGCTTTGACTTCTTTTCTGAAGACTCCTAGACAGAAGTGACTTGGCAGTTATAATGTCTATCTCACTAATACAGGAGTACGTTCCACTGCATTTTCTGTACTACTTTATTACCTGTGCTTATACTTGCAGCACCCTACAACTGCACTGCATAGTATCATGCCCTGAGTGTTCAATTTTAGCAGTCTCCCAGCTGATCTTAATAGATATTAATTGCTATACAGGTGTATAGGGTGAGAGGTATTCTCTCGATACCTTGGCTCCACATCATTTAGGCTTTGAATATGATTACCAACATCTTGAATTACAGCCAAAAGAAAACAGGAAGCCAGTGTAGAGACTTGATCTCAGGTCCAGTGTTTGGGGCATCCTGCAGCAGTTGGGAGGAAGGCAGAAGGGTTCTGCAGTAGCTGGAGGAATTAGTCCTAGGACACATTTGTCCCGATTGGTGGTAACAAAGTGGATGACTGTGTGAGATCCAGATCGAAGAAGAATGGTCCGTGATCAATGACAAACTCACCCGCACTATGGGTCACCAATGTAGTTTGAGTCAAAGAGCAGCGATAAATCCAGTGAGACCCTGAGGTCAGATATTACACACTTGTTAGCTGATGCAGACACACCGTTGGCTTAATCCCCCATCTCCTTCCCCTTACCAGGAAACAAAACTGCAGGTTTTCCCAGCTTGAATCTTCATCCAGCTCTCTGTATTGTATGCTGGCAGAGTAAAGAGACTATAGATGCCATATTGTTTGAGATGGTGGCAAAGAGCTGAGTATTGTTATACTGATGACCCAGTAGTCCAAACTCTTGATCTTTCCAAGTGGCTTAATAGGATTGTCTGACAGAAGGGATTACAAATGGTATGGTATGGAACCCTGCATTTGCGGGGCCAAGGGAAGAAGAGTTTGCCCAGCACTACCCTTTTTGGATGCTTCTGAGAAGAAGTAAACCCACTGAAAGATTCCTCAGTCCACTCCTGCAATATCTTGCAGGCAAGTCAGTCAGACCTTACAGTCACAATGTTATCCAGAGCTGCTGGTAAATCTATTAAAATCAGCTTGTGAACTTTACCTTTTACATCATTAGAAGAAGCTCATCCATATCAATAGTGATGTTTCCATAAACAAGCCTGAAGCCAGAAGTTAGGCATCAAAATCTGTATAATCAGTACTGGAGATGGCTCATCGCTATCTTTTCAATTACCTTCTCTTAAAAGGGGAGATTCAAGGCAAGACAGAAACTATGTGTTAACAATCAAATATGGTTTCTTGAGCAAGGTCCTAAGCACTGTTTATTTAAATGTCATTGGTATGTTGCTGTCCCTAAGGAGGCATTAGGAATCTTTGACAATAATGGGCCTGTTGTCTTTTCCATTGCTTTCATCAGCCATGAAGGACATAGGGCCATTTCCATACATGATGTGATGTGCTTGGGGTTACAACCAAAACCTCAGCAAGAGAAAACCATCTGAGAGCCACCCAGTACAGTTGGCATATTTTATCTCCCACTCTTGTACTGTTCCTGTTGAAGTGATCAGCTCTGCCTGAATTCCAGTTTATATTATCTGATGTGTACGTTGACTACTATTCATGTGAGAAACACTTGATTTTACATTGCTGAGACAATCTGGGTTAATCAGACTACCCACAATTCAGAATGCTTCCTCTGGTTTGGATTTTGCAGAAGTTAAGGCTGAGAAGACAACTTTCATCACCTCAGTCATAGTAACAGCATGAAAATGCCATAATTCTTGACACAAGCAATTGGATTTGGGGGTGAATCTTCTATTAGTCCTCCAGGCTTCTCCCTTGCTGCTTCATGTTTCTCTAGCTCTGTATACCGTGGTAACGTGCGAGGACAATGCGTGGGGAATAGGCATCTAGGTGCCATTGTCTGTCAGATGGTCATGGACAGTAATGCAGCCAAGTTGCACTAGACTGTCAAGGTGGTCCAGTGTCTGAGCTGGAAATCTGTGTTTTGGAAATACAAAGGGCCCATAAAGGGCGAACCATAGAAACTTCTCCACCTGACAGAAGCATGGAAAAGCTCTCCGAGAAGGAAATGATAGGACTGACAAAGATGTATTTTAAACAAACCCTGCTTTCAGTCCCATTCATAAAATGATAAAACCAGAGGTGTGAGTTGACCTGAGCTGGACTATAATCCTGTATACAAGATGCATCATTACCATACATGCTGAAGATACTGACGGTAAGTCTTGGCAATTGCAGTCAGGCCTGGCAAACGGTTAGCCTTGAGTAGGAATTTTAGTGAGTAAATGGGGTGACCTGTGCACAATCAGATGCCCAAATGCACTTTATTTTGGGATTCGCAAGTGTGACCACCTAGTCTGAATTAATTGCTTTTGCAGTTCACTTTTAGAGTTCCATAGGGCTAGAAACAAATGCCTTATAGGAATTCAAGCTTTTGGCATAAAGCCATTCTTTTTAACTTTAGTAGTTTGTGGGATACCTGCTTCTAAAACCACTTAGGAATTAAATGGAGGAGAGACCAGATGTGTTGATAAGGATGTGATTTTAGGGGCCTATAACTTAGATCTTGTCTATACTACAGTGACAGAGCTACAGCTCTGCAGTGAAGCTGCTGTAGTGCCATAGCATAGACATTTGCTAAGGCCACAGAAGGGATTTCTCTGTTGCTGTAGTTAATCCACCCCCTTGAAAGATGTTAGCTAGGTTGATGGAAGAATTCTTCCGTTTATCTAGTGGTGTCTATACCAGGGTTTAGGCTGGCTTAACTGCATGTTTCGGGTGTGAATTTTTCATGCCTGGGAGCCATGTAGCTATGTCCACCTAATATTTAGGGGTAGACCTGGCCCTTCTTCCAGGGCTAGAAACACTCTGGCAGAAAGTGGGGAAATTTCTCTAAGCATTGGTCTTGCAACTGTGATCAAAAAGGAAAAAAAAAATGTGATTCTTGGATAAATGCAAAGTTTAGGGGGGTGGTATGAAAGGCAGTATGGCCAGTGGATAAGGCACAGGACTGGAAATCAGGAAACGAGTTTAATTCTTGACTCTGGCACTGACTCACTGTGACATTGGATGAGTAACCCTGTCTTTTTCTTTATCTGTAAAATTGTGGGGGGGGGGGAGTGATGATTACCCTGCTTTATACAGTTCTCTTCGATTGATGACTGAAAAGCACATATAAGTGCCAGGGTTATTGTTCGAGTAGATACAGATGTGTATTGCAGTTAGGTGCGTGTATACCCAGCACGCCAGAGCTGGAGACTGTTGCATAGCAGTACCTATAGAGGGGTGACACATAGCTGTGGCCCCTTCCCTGGCTATATGAGGCAGCGCTACCCTGACCCCCATTAGTTCCTTCTCACCTCTGTGGCTGAAGTCAGAGCTGTGTGATTGTTGTCTTATCATTAGTGTTAGTAGGTAGTAGATAGTGTCAACCGAGATTTAAACATTGCCCTTCTTGTGGAGAGGCATTCCCAACAGTGACGCCCACACACACTGCTTGCTTTGTGTTGGCAAGGCCCACCTTAAAGAACCTTATTTGATCTGTAGATCGTTCAAGAAGCGGACTCGGGTGGCACAGGACCTTTGTCTCAAGCAGCTTCTGCTTGAACAGGCCACGCGACCTGATCTGGTACCAAGGCCCTCCTCGGGCCGAAGATCACCCTTAGGCTTGGAGAGTGCTGCTGCTTCTCGTTCCAGGGCAGGCGCCTCTCTGAAGATGCGTAGTAGCCGTTCTGTCGGTGCCAAGGAAGGGGTCTTCTAAGACCGATCGGGACCATTCCAGGTCACAGGGCAACTCCTCTGCCTCCCCCAGGATAAGCACGGACTGTCCCGACATCGATTCCACCGTGCGTGATGGCATTGGTACCTCTAACCCTTCCCCAGTACTGAGTAGGAAGTGCAGAAACCATGTACTGTCGACTCTGGTTCTGGTCTCCAAGTGTCCATTGAGTCCGATACCAACGAGGGAAATGCCGATACTTTGTCCATGTCATCGACATATCAGGCAGCCACAGATCTCCTCTACCTTTCAGTCCCAACCCTTATCATTGATCTAGGACTTTCCCAGAGATGCACCACCTATAACCCCTCCGATGGAGTGAGTCGCTGAGCTCTTGTATCCATCGGCATTGTATTCAGATGCACCTCTTCCTTTGGTGGGGATGGAACTGGTATTGGGGTTGGTACAAGGGACCTTGGCATGAGGACCCTCTATGGCCCATCTGCTTTCAACGCTGCAGATGTTCCAATGGAGACTTTTATCACCCTCATTGTTGATGCACTTGGGCACTCCAGTACCACTGTTTGCACCGGGACTGACGCTGCCTGTGGCACCAGCATGTTTGGCATCAATGATATCGCCTTCATCAGGGGCACTGATTCCTGCCTTGTTCTGGGCAACAGATGACTCGGACCACCTGTTGGCTCCCTGAGGTATTGCTCTGCCCATATTCCTGAGATATCAGGGCTCTTCTGAATCCGATTCTGGATAGTCATCTTCCTGCTCCACATCACCTGACGAGTTCTGAGGCCTACCTGTGGACCAGTATGGCTTCCAGAGCTGGCATGTGCCCCATGGTAGGGATGGTGGTCCCTGGTGCGCTTCCTACTGGTCACCAACGCGCCTACCCTTTTCAGTGGCCTCTTTGGATTCAGTCGGATGCTCCTCATCCCGTTGAAAGCTGAATCACCCGACAGGTTGACGGTGGTGACTGCAGATCAGCCGCAAGCCCAGGCATCAGTGGTTTTCCTCCCTGTGGAGCCGCTGCAGTCCTCCCTCCCGGGTATGTCTTCCCGGGAGCAAGAGCCAGTTGTGTCTTAGCCAAGACCCATGTCCTCATCGCCAGATGATGCCATGCTGCCTGGTTCATCTTCCTCTTCTATACTGGAGGTCTTTAAGATGTATCAGGACCTTTTATACCACATAGCTGCATCCCTGGGCGCCCAGGCAGAGTTTCTCCAAGAGAACATATACAAACTGGTGGACATTTTACAGCCTGCCATCCCTGGAAGAGTGGCCCTCCTGATCAATGATATGCACCTCGTGCCGGTGACAGCAAATCAAGCTTTGATGTCCAAGTATGATTTCCTCAATTAGTCAGCCATGTCTAAATTGAAGAACCAGTTGCCCAAGGCCTTGCATGAGGAGTTTCAGGCATTTGTTGCAGAATGCTGCTCGATGGCACACAACACATACCAATAATTAATAGGGGGACCCCTTGAACGGGTTGGGGCCCTAAGCAATAGCTTAAACTGCTTATTCTTAGCACCAGCTCTGGTTCTTGGGCAAGACTGATGACACTTTGCACTCCTTTAAGGATTCTGGGGCTACCTTGAGGTCCTTGGGAGTGTGCACGCCAGCCGCACAAAGATGCCACTATGGGGCATAGCAGCAGTAACAATATCGCCCGCAGCATTTCTTCACACAGCCTTTCCCCCGAAACAGCAGGATTACCATAGAAAGAGGGATAGGTCCCACAAGGGGAATCAGTCAATCTCTGGCTTTGGACAGTCCACACGCCCTCCCTCAGTGCTGGCTAAACACCCATTTTGACTCCTTAGTCCAGAGCACTGATTCAGTCAATACTCCACCATCTCTGTCTCTTTAGGGACAGGCTGGCCCGCTTTTGCAATGCTTGGGACTCAGTTGTCTCCAACAGCTGGGTCCTAGACCCTGTCAGATGGGGCTACGCACCTCACCCCCAAATCCATCTTCAGGGACCCCTCTCACAAGACACTGCTCATCAAGCAGGTCAGCTTTCTGTTGACATTGGGAGTGGTGGAGGAAATTCCACAAGAGCACCAGGGCCACAGCTTTTACTCCCAGTACTTCCTGATACCGAAATCCAAGGATGGATGAGACCCATTCTCAACTTTCACAGCCTCAACAAATTAATCAGATACATGAGATTTCGCATGGTCACTCTTGGCTAACCTCCTCGCATGGTCTCAGAATGGCTGATTTGCTGCTCTGGAACTTACATTCATGTGACGATTCTACTGAGCCAGAGGAAATTTCTGCCTTGTGTGGTAGGAGAATGCTACTTTCATTATACTGTTGTCCCATTTGGCCTCTCTTCTGCCTCCTGAGTCTTCACCAAATGCATGGTGGTGTCAGGCATGTATCAGGAGGAAGGAAATCCACATCCTCCCGTACCTCGTCGACGCCACATTACATTTGCTTGACAGTCTGAGACTCACTTTAAACACCACAAAGATAACACTGCTCTACAGCCAAAATGCTTCTGAAATAAATGTAGTC